ATGCTAAAGTTCACAAATTCACCTGCTCACCTGACAGATGTGGAGCACCGTCTCTCTTAATCTCTGGTGTTCACTCACCAAATCAGTCTCATTCTGTGCAGTTTTGGAGAAGTCATAGGTCATTTACCAGCCACTCTGCTCTTTCCCTCTGCACAGAAACACACGGGACAGTGGGGCAAGACAGTGATCGAATACAGATCACAGAAGACCTCTCGTCTGCCCATTGTGGACATTGCCCCCATGGATATTGGCGGAGCAGACCAGGAGTTTGGAGTCGACGTCGGGGCTGTCTGCTTCTTGTAAAAGAACGAGGGATAAAACAAAAACAAAAAGAAGAGTAAGAAGAAGTGAGAATTTGGAAAATAAATAAATAAATAAATAAAATGAAAGAGGAGCACGCTTCAGATAAAGGAGGAGAGAAAGAGAGAGAGAAAGAAGAAAAATCAAGACACTTTTTTAAATGGGACGTTTTTTTCTAAGTAAAAAGCGCTTTTCCAAGTCGAACTCCGTAGGATATCTGCACTGAATGGCACCAGCAACTGTCATTTGTGATTCATCCAGCATTGCATCCAGTCAGCTCCCCCTCACTCCCCCCCACATGGACACCCTGCATTCCCCCAATAGCCCCCCCCCAAACTTCACCCACCCTATACCCATGAACAAGAAGGAGGAAGTATGACGGTATGACAAGAGTACAGGAACATACCAGGGAACAGGAGAAAGAGAGAGAGAACAGTGTGCCGGTGTTATTTATTTATTGTCTAGGTTTGGGTCCCCGGTGTGGTAGGACTGAGTTTGTTGCAAAGAAATTTTTTAAAAAGCCCGCTTACACATATTTAAAAAAAAAAAAAAAATCCTTATCCACCAACTGCCTCTCTTACTTCCTCCTCTTTTCTTGTCATCCCACCACTCCTGTACCACATCCACTAAAGAATACATATCTCTTTGAAACCAAAAATCTAGCTACGAAGAAAGTGCAGGTGTTTCTGTTTCTGCCACCACAGTGTGTATTGAAAATTACTGTGTATTATAATAAAGTCAATGGTGCTATTGTTGTAAAACAGTTTGTATTTTTTAAACAACCAGATACTCATATGTAGTGACTTGTATATATGTATATATATGTATATGTGTGTATACATATATATACAGTTTCTCAGAGAGGGCATTTCGCCCTGGGATTTTGGATTTCAGGGTGATAAATGTCCTTGCTTCACACATCCCTCCTGCTTCTTCAACCCCAGTACATAAATAAATATGCCCCTGATTAGTTTTTGTTTTTTGTTTTTTTGATATGACCAATTTGGAACAAAATTTATTTTCTTTTTGTTTTCTTAACATTTGTTTTTGACATTTTAAAGCTACCTCATGCAAAAAAAATGAAAAGATAAAAAAATCTTCACAGATCAAACTGAGGCCTTCTCCCCCCAAATCTTTGTTTACACACACCATATTTTAGACAAATAGCAATAAGACCAGTATGTTTTGGTCAGAAAAGCCCATTTGCTGTGACCGCTGACCCCCATCCCTCTCTACTTCCTCCTTTCAGTCCCCTCACACAGGGTGGCCCTCTGCCTCGGCATGCACAATCACACTTACACACACACACACACACAAAGTTAAAAAAAAAAAACAACAAAAAAAAAGAGATCTAAGGTGTGTCTGACTTTGTCACTCCAGTTCTACAGCCAGCGCAGAGGGTTCGTTCATGTGAGGTTGTGTATATTTTTATTATTAATAATATTATTATTAATAATAATAGCAATATTATATTATTATTATGATCATGACTTGTTTTTGTTACGTCTTAATTAATGTAAATTGGAAAATAAAAGACAAAACCAAGTAAGAGGCTGAAGTTGCTTTTTATTTATATTCTGTTTTGTTTCCCCCCATGTTGAAATATCTGGGGCAGTGTTGGTTTCCTTAAATAAAGTCACACCTAAACATTTTGCTGTGCCCTGCTTCCACTTCATATTGTTTGTTGCGACATCCACATTTATTTCCGAGGGGGAGAAACAGCTCAGATTTGGAGAAAAGGCAGTGGAGAGATGGATGGATGCGGGGCCATTGTGATTTTGCTTTGATTAATGTTTTGCTTTTTTTAAAACATTGAAGAAGGAGGTGGTGAAAGTTCGTATCATGTACCTATATATGCAAAATACTTTTCCAATCATTTCCTTTAGTTTATTGCATGGTAACGTAGAAATGGGAAACACTGCCAACCATGATCAACTCATTCTGTGAATTGATAATGTCTTCCTGTACTTCTATTGCTTCTCTTCATCTTCTTGCCTTTTTTCAACCTGCAGTAGTAATAAAACGTAGAAGCATTTCTATGAACAAAGTAGAGCAATGTTTCTTTTATTTTTATATCTATATATTTGCTGTTGTTTTATTTTCCTGAAATCACTTTTTGATAGTTCATTTATTATTTAATGTACTGGTTTCTGATCTGTGACTTTATCTTTGTTCCAATCATTTTTGGTTAACAAACAGGACAGAAAACAAAATCACTGGACAGAAATACATCACCAATAAAAAAGAAAAATATCCACAGAAAAAAACTACACACAGAGGATATGTTTGGTTCTTGAGTTTTGGGGGTCATCACTGTACCTTAATGAGTCAAAGGGCATTCAAGATTACATTAGATGCTTTTGTGGAAACTGAACTCTGGCGCATGAACATCAAATGTATGATTAGTGTAAAACAGCTAGCATTCAGGATGTATTCCGAGCATGTAAAGTTACACCAACAGTGCGTCACAAGTTTATCCACAGACAGTTTGGTTTAGAAACAACAAATGTCCACTTTTTTATTCTCATCCCCTTTAAGTCTGTTGTTTCCCAACCAATACCAGATATTACATGGACCAGAACAATATCAACATCAGTCTACTCCATATGGTCTACTCATAGTTCTACTGACTCTAGTTCTAATTCACAGCATGTGAACAACACAGACTTGAACCTGTCTTTCTCTGTAGTTTACAGCACGCACACCACATTTAGTACATTACAGAACACAGAAAGTCGTCCTATTCTAGGCTCTGCTTCAGCTCTTACCACTTTACCAACTCAATTCTTGATAAAAGGGGGCAGACTATTTTTTAATATATAAGATGAACACATAAAAGTTTGTACACTTTAATCCATCACATATACACAAGTAAGACAAAGCCATGCTACCAGCTCTGTGAGGCTGTACAGCACTTCAGCACAACAGTGCTTGGAGCTGAACATGCCAGCATGTCGGGTATTTGGCCCAAAATGAGTTTTAAAAAAATTATTATTTGAAATGATGATGGTGCAGAGGAAACTGTACTGAATTTTATGGCAAACCATACAATCCTCAAAGAGATCACAAGACAAAATAATATTAAAAATAATCCTCTTCACATAGCGAGTCCCAATTTTTGGTTTGTGACCCATTAAAGGCAAAAGCTTTTTTCTGAGCCTCTGTAATTAGTTGCATTATTGCCAATTTCTGCAAAACGGAAGAGTCCCTTTTCCTTATTTTGTTTGCCTTATTGTTAAACAATAGTCCACTTAATATTACCCATTAACGCACAGAAGGTATAAATAGACATTATAGGAAAATCTTTTTAAAAAATGAACATAATTTTGTATAATTTCAGCTTTAAAGTCCCACTAACAATCCCAGTGCCTCGGTCCTGAACACACATTATAATGATGTTGACAAGCAGACTGAAAGAAGCCTTTCACACTTTACAATGTGATGATGAGGAATGAAAAATACTTATATATTTAGTCACACCACTGCTCTCAGGGAACGCTCCACAGGTATTGCCATTAAATATGGCTACAATGAACTCAAGTAAGAATGGAAAAAAATAAAATGATACTGTTAATCCAGTCAGGTTTTGTTTCATATAAGCAGGAACCTGAGCTGGATATTCAGTGCATCTACAGTGCACATGCCAGCAGTGGTATTAATTTTAACATTACAGGCAATTAAATGTTCCAACTGAGAAAATTATTCCATTTATTATCAAAGCTTTTTTTTTTAACAGTGTCGTGACAAAAAAGTCAATTATGATGGAGCCTATGTGGGAGGACCAAAAAAGCAGAACTCGAGAGATTAACTAACAGCTTCTCTAAGCATAAATGGTAATAACACACTTCTAAATTTGGTTGAAATGTCTCTGTACCAATCAGTGACAGCTGTACATATGCTAAATGGTCTGGATTTTTCAGAGCTGGTTGCTGCAGCTTGGAGACAAAATAGTTAACCTTCAGCTCTAATGGCTTCCTGAGAGTAAATTTAGATCAGCAGCTCTCCGCCGGCACCGAAACAACCGGTGTGGTGATCATGTATCGGGAAAGGCTTAAATAGCATCTGTGCAAAATCAATGTCAGGCTATCAAAGTGAAAAATTGCCGTAACAATGCACAAAAATACACCATGTGCACACATACACACACAAATGAGACAAGCAATTAGAAGAGGACACACATTAGAGTTTGCACACTCTCCTATTTGACCTGATAAACACACTCCAGCTGATTAGCGCCTTTCAAGTGTTCATTAAGGGTCAGTTGGTCAAAGACTCCTAATTGGAGCTTAATGAAAGATAAAAGAGCACAGCATAAGGCATGGTGGGAGAAGAAAAGCAAAGAGGGACAACAAGAGAGATAGAAGGTTATTAGGTTGAAGGAATGTCTGTCTTTCCTGACACTCCCATTTAATCTTTTCTTCTGCTACTTTTTTTCCTTCAGTGCAGATGTAGGATGAGTAAGCAAGTACTTCTTATTTTTCATTAAACTGAGAAAAATGTGATAAGAAAAGAAATATTAAGAAAAATACAGGGGGCTCAGTAACAAATATAAAGAAATATTGTAATCATACAGCTGCAAAAGGTTCCTTATCTCTGTGTCTATATCTTCCACAGTTGGTTTATGGTAACTCCAAGCAGTGTTTTGAAGTCATAAAAATGGCATTAGATTATTCCATTTAGATTACAGCTTGAGCAGGAGTTCAGAAACCAGTACTCAGAGTGTCTGTTTCAGCCGGGGTCTTGCGTGGGCTTGGTAAACTCTTCAGGTATTCCAAATGCCTGCGAGCCTCAGCTTGGTTCTGCCTCACGTAGTACACTACATACACAATGACCATGAAGAACCACACGAACATGGTCACCAGCATGGCGACATCAGTGGTCTTCCTCTGCAGGCTGCAGAAGTTCACCCCAGAATCCAACAGTTTAACCAGTGGCTGGCCTGCGTGCTCGCCCTGCGACCCTGGGTCCTCCCACCTGCTCCCCTCGCCCACCCCCCGCACTGAGCTCTCGCAGATGATCCCGTTCACCGTCTCGGGCTCCAGGTTCAGAGTCTCCATCAGCTCCTGCAGGGCACAATCACAGTGCCAGGGATTGTGGTAGAGGCGCGTCTTTGCCCGGGTGGAGCCAAACTCCTCCCTGTTGGCTTGCCTCAGCTGGTTGTGTGACAAGTCCAGCAAGCGCAGCTCGGGGCCCAAATGCCGCAGGGCCCCCGAGGCGAGAGAGTCGATGCGATTGTGGGACAGGTAGAGATCCCGCAGGTGGACCAGATCACTGAAGGCACTCTCTGGGATGTTCCGGATGTAGTTGCGTTCCAGGTGGAGGGAGACAGTTTCCGGCGGGATTCCCTCTGGGATCTCCCGCAGCCCGGCATCTGAGCACAGTACCGTGGCCGTGTCCCAGGCACAGTGGCAGCTGTCTGGGCACTGCAGGGACGCTTGACCCCACAGAGCCGAGAACAAAAGCGACACACATAGCCATGAATGAAGATCCAGTCCTTTACCTCTCCCTCCACTGACACTGGTACATCTCTCCTCACGCCATCCTGTGCACATCGCCTCACCATAGCCTCTAGACACACACCAGGTCCCAATCAGATGCACACGGTCGCAGCGGGAGAATCTGACAGATTGAAAGAAAAGGGTCAGTCTGGAAAACATGACACTCTCTCTCTCTCTCGCTCTCTTGCTCTCTCTCTTTGTCTCTCTCTCTACTAAACCTTCAAACACATGCAATCAAAATGAATGCTCACAGGGGAGATTATCATGTTTTAGAGGAGGAGGAGGGAAAAAAGGTCAGTGGGTATACAGATAGAAAATTAAATGAGCTTAAAGCAGTTTATTGAATAAAAATGCTCCTGTATGCAGCGACACTGTGACAAAAATGTACCAAAACATGTGAGAGAACAATTTCTGTCCATTGCACAGCAACTAATTTAGAATTGGTGGTGCTGCTTGTTAATAACTTTGAAATGAAAATGGACATTTAGAAGAGGCATCAGCATATTTTATTGCAGTGATTCCCTCATAAATCACAGTCTAAGCAGCAGTAATGATACTTTAAGTGATCTAATAAGGTTGAAAAACCCTTCTGCATTAAAAGGACATAAATCATTAGACAAGATTATCTGAACTCCTCCCCGCCTCTTTCCTGTTGTGTCCCTCCTGCAGCTCAAATTCAAGAGCAGAAGAAAAGCATCATATTACACTCATCAATACATGTTCATCTCATTTATCCCTCTATTTATTTTCCCATGATGCCTCAGCCCCTTAATCATACACCAAGGGTGAAATGGGGGGTGGGGGGGGATGTGCATTGTAGGGATGAAGGTTAGAAAAGGGTGGGATCGATAGCCCAAGCATTGCCTGCTACACTATTAACAGCAAGAACATCAATCTTGCCAGAGTCCCACAGTGTCAATAACTGACAGAGCTGGAAAAAATAACCCAGCAGTAGTCTGGGTGTGAGCTTCTGCTCACTCCTGCAGTTAGGAGGCAAAAGTTTAAAAAAAGCAACGAGGCTAGACTCTGCATCACATGAGCAAAAATCACTGGAGAATACATTACATGTGTAATGTGTGTTGAGCTATTTTGGAGTCGCTGAGTCTCTTCTGCTTGTCTTGACATATTTTTCATCTGTGTGGGTCTGTAAATGGTGTCATTTGTGCTCGTTCAGACAATCCACTTAGGTGTTTTCAGAACATTGGTGTTTTGCTCAGACAAGTGTAGCTGTAAAATGTTCTTGTTCCGAGGCAGAAATCACAAAATGCTGCTTGAATTTGATTAAAAGACCATCCCCTTAAATGTCAAGTACCTTCAGCTTTCTGCCCGTTTTCAAAATTGACACGTGCGTCCATTTGCCTGCACAGACAACATGCAGGGAAGCCTTCAACCCCAGATCAAGAGTGGCCTAGATTTGCTTGATGTGCCTAAAGGTGACTGAGCGACAGCCCTGTGATGTCCACTGGGTGCTTTTCTAAACTGAGGTGAGGATTTAGCTCACCACTCCTTCATTGTCCGTTATTAACATAGTGAACGTACATGCATGCAAATCCCCAATTAGCCAAAATAATCACCTGCTGCATGAATAAGAATGGGACTGAGAGAGGCTGAAAGAGGGACTCCCAAAGCAAACACAGCTGGCAATGTGGTTACAGCTGGTGATTGCAGCCTCCAATTATTATTTTTTTCTATATTCCTCCCTTTATTTAAAATACAGTAAGGCAAATTAGAGAATAAAAGAGACACTCCCTGCTCTCTGAGTTCATCTCCTGTATCATACCTTGATTTTTATGAGATTAACCTGCACTGAAGTCATGACATTTCCAGTGAAATTTCATTTAGACTTTAAATTACATTAACCTGGTCAACAGGACTATTCAAAGGTAACCAGATAACACAGCGTTTTTTTGTTTTTTTTGTTTGTTCCAAGAAAGCAAATGTGTGTTTTCTGCATCATTTGGAACTTCTGAATGATAAAAATGAAGTTTGTAAAAGATTTAAACCGAGCTTCGTGTCTGCTCTCTCGGTTACATGAAAGTTTATCCAAATTAAAGGAAGAAACCAACAACTATGTCAGACCACAGCAAAAATACGATCACAAGTTAGATTTTAAACTGCGGCGTAAATGATGGACGGACAATAAAAGAACTGACCTGTTAAATGGTTCCTTGAGAAGTTTGGGTCCATGCAGCGGATCAGGAGGGTTTTTTTTTAGACTCCGCTTGTAGTTTTACTTTGGGGTTTTTCCCGAAGGAAGATTGGTCATCATCTCCTGCTTTAGTGTCGATAGATTTATGAAGAAGAAAAAAAAAACTCTGTAAAGAGAATCAGCAGCGGCTCCGTGGTTCGTCGCCTGCAGACAGCTCCATCACTGACTGTCTCCACCAGTGGAGGGTAGTTATAGCGATGAAGATGTGGGGCAAACTCATTCTCTCTCTCTTAGTGTGTGTGTGAGAGAGCGAGACAAAAAAAGAAAAAAATAAAAATACGCGGGACAAGGTGTGTGCCATCATCACTTCTTCTTGCCCTCACTATAGATGGCATCAGTCCCGGATTTCTGAGAAGACACTGCTTACCTCCATGAACTAATTAGCTCTGGATATAATTTAATTCTTACAATCATTTCTTCCAGCAAAATTGGATTGAATCCCAGGCAGGAACACGGGTATACAAGGATATTTCAGAGTACAGAATAAGCAAAATAGACAAGTGAGTGACAAATTAAAAGAAAATCCTGAATAAAGGCATCGAAAGATAAGAAAAGAAGCACTGCACGGTGCCATAAAGCAATTAACATTCAGTTAGGCTCTGTGGCATGTTTAAAAATACCAAGAAGGCCCAGTCAATTTAGATTTATATATTAAGATAAGAAAAGGGGAAAGATGTAGATGACTGAAAGAATATTCATTGTTAGGGCACAGATGGCAGGTGCTTCAGTTATAAAAACCACACAACTAGTTAGTGGTTTAACAGGAACAGTGACATCTGATTTAGATTTATTAACAATGGTCAACAGTCCACATTGTTTGACATTAATGCTCTTTACATTACTTCAGTATGTAAGGAAAAACCACACAGCAACTCTTCCTCTGGTGACTGAGGACGTCAATGCAGGACGTAATCACACCATCACCAAGAACAGATATTTAGAGGGCAGCATTATATTCAGTCTGCAGCGCACAGTGCACTTATTAGAAAGATGAATGCACATTTCAGTGGTACAAACCCCATTTGTCCTGGTCTGCAGAGATGTGGAAAAAAAGTAAGTCATCCTTCATCATATTCTCAACAAGTGGTGAGTGCACGTGTGGCATACACAGTAACAGTGCATGAACGCTTGACCCCTACATCGAGGAGGATCTGGTGGCTCCGTTATTCTGTGGGGTGCAATTTGCTGGTATGGTTTGAGTCCACTTGTCACCATGGAAGGAAGGGTCACTGCAAATCAATACAATGTTGTTCTGAGTGATCACCTTTATCCCATGATGAAACATTTCTACCGTGATGGGAGTGGTGTCTGTGAGAATCACAATGCCTTCATCTACTGGGCACAAAGGGTCACTGGAGGGTTTGATGAGCATGACAAATTATGTGAATCATATACTGTGGCCTTCACAGTCAGAATTGACACCAGTTTGAGCACCTATGAAAGATGTTGGAGCAACATGTTAAGACAGTGCTCTCCACCACTGTCATCAAAACACAAAGTGAGGGAATATCTTTTGGAAGGGTGGTGTTTCACTCTATGAGTAGACTGCTAGACATTTGGAGAATCAATGCTAAGGCGCACAGAGTGTTGTGCAAGCATGTGGTTTCCCATTTTGTTAGTTTTTCTTTTAGTCATCTCTTGGCGTGTAATAACAGTTTTAATACAGTACACGGAATTCAAACATTTATCACCTGTGGACTTGCAATAGGTATCAGACTGTTAAGAAAAATGTTATTTGCAGCTGTCACCCTCAGATAAGCAGGAGTGCTGACTGATAGAGCTGAAAGAGAACAACATTAAAGGGAAGACGCGCCTCCTCTAATCACTTGTGTTTGGTCCACGCTTAGTATTGGAGGTCAAGCAGAAAGAGACTTCATTTGTCACAGTGTAAGTCCACAGTATATCAAGTTGGAAACGAAGATTGACTTGGACAGGCATAGAAGCAAATGCATGAATTTGCAACACAGCTGTGGCAGGACATGAGGCAACCTTGAGACTCGCACACATACACATATTGAATTTCCATATAAATAACAACAAGAGCATGTGAACACAATTTGACAGTCACACAAAAAGAGCCCACACAGTGTACGTATGTAGAGAAATATTATTCATAGAGGTTTGCACTTAGTGCAACTGCCCTGCTCCCACTTTGATTTTTTTTTTACCATAAGCAGCGAGAATATCTGCCCATCTAGCAGAGCCCTCGGGGGGTAAAGGATGGGTCTGACAGCCACGATGGCACCTCATATCCCTCCTCTGCCTCCCCAGCCTGCCCTGCTCCCATCTGCCTGCTAAAACCTATGACATTTCCACTCCTGACAGATACAATACAGAATGCTGCAAGTATAGTGCTTTTTTGTCCCACTTTACAGCTGAATTTTTGTGAATGTTTTGCCCTTGACAGGTGATTGTCTCCATGTTTGCCAGAGACAGGGCTGCAGACAAGCTGAGTTTTGTGGATTTTCAGACAGAAAACAAGGGACAAAGGGGAGCATAATGAGAAAACACATGATGGCAAAGAGAAAAATCCCTCATCCAAAAAAAAAAGTATTGCACATTGTCTATTTTCCGGTCCTTGAACGAAGAGTGAAAAGCATGATGATGGGTGCGAAGTTCAATTTGCAGGAAGAAAAAAAACAACAAAAAAAAAGCTGAGCCAAGAAGGGAGGTGGTTACGTCGCATCTATCTGGGAGGTTGTCAGAGAATGCCGTTTTAAAAGATGTACATGCCTATGAGCAGGTTGCCTATGATGGTGTTGACAGTGTGATCTCTACTGGAAAACCTGACTGCAGTGAAGTGAAGTAGTTTGGCATCATCTGTTTGATTTGACTGTAGTTCTCCAAGGGGAAAACTGAATGAACCCTACACAAATTTGTAAACAGAAGGAGGCAGTGGAAAAGATGTGACAGTCAGTGGCAGAAAGCTATTCCTCCAAGACAGTGCAAGGCTGTGACTGTGTCGATTATGTGTGTCATGAAAAGAAAGGCGGAGGACAAAAAGCACGAAATACATGTCCTAGTGAGTATGCCTGATGGAGTTGCAGAGACAGAGATAAAAAAGCAGTGGAGCATTTCTCGTAACCAGTCTGTCATTCTCTTGGGAGTGAATCCACTAACAACAGGTCAGGCTGGGGGCAGGTGTTCTGCTGAGGCGCTAGGCAGCCATTTTTCCAAAGCGTGGTCAACAGGGACTTGCCAGGGTTGGAGTCGTCTGAAAATGCTTACGACCAAGAACTAACACAAAGGTTTGGTCTGCCTCTGTGTTGTTAGAAACTACAGCGCATGTGGAAAATCGGCCCTGCTGACAAAACAAAGTATTAAAAAATGTTGCTTTGTAAGTAGATTGGGCAACAGGAAAGGACTTTAAGAACTGAAAACCAGCGCATAGGCTAAAATAAAAAAATATTTAAAAAATACAAGTTCAAGCAAAAATGCAAGGAAGGTCTTCTGAGGAAACTTTGAACTTTAAAATACAGTCACAGCATCCTGTGATTTCCTGTGCCTAGCAATCAGGCAAGTGCACTTGATCACGAATCTGAAATTGTGCATGCAAGGGTACAGCGGCGACTGGAAACTCAAATCAATACATATTAGGCTACAAGTCGCTTCTTTTCCTCCCTTCAATTTGATGTTTCTCTCAGAGTGCCTCCAATTACAGCACCATGATGAATACACCTTTACTGTGTCCTGTTTCTTTCGACTGAAGTAAGTTGTGAAAAAGGGTTATTTGCTGCATCTCCCAGCATAATACAGCATTATAGTTGGCAGAGAATACAATATGAACCATGTGACTGTAAAATGCTGTCAAATGTGTATAGATTAATTGGGACTTTGGCTCAAGTCCAGCACAAAAGAGAGCGAGTTACAACGCTAAAATATGTGTGTATGTATGTGTGTACTTCTGAGACAAAGGTAGTGTGGAAAAGAAAATGCAAGACAAAGAGTAGTTTTCCAAAGCTAATAGAAAACAGCCAGTGCACTCTCAGCTAAAAGGGAAACAATAACTCAGCAGTAGACCAAATATAGATGAGATGCTACACTATGAGCTTTATTGTTGTGACCGTGTATTATCTGTGTAGACTCCTTGACTTACAAACATTTGTATTTCCAAGTGGCATTTACGCTTCAGAAAAACTGAAGCAAAACAATGACAACAAAAGCCAGTTAAAGGATGTTGCTGTTTAGGAATTAACAGTCCACACCACTGAACACAATGAAAGACAAATGAGGAAAAAGATATGAATTACAGCAACACTAACAGCTGCAAGTATCAACACATGAGTTATTTTTTTCACTGCAGTGGCATTTGCACAATGCCACCCCCACTGATGGAAATAAAATGCACAGCAATGAAATTACAGCAATATGTTATGTAGAGCAAGAGCAGCAGAAGGTCAGCCTTATGGAGGATGCAATAAGGGAGGAGCAACAGGTAGAGCTAGGGGGAAAGAAAATCTGGAGTGTTAATGAGAAAATTCAAGACACATCCCCTGACTTTATTACAGTGAAATTGACTGTACAGCTCGTCCTAGTGCCAGTAACCTTGTCACGACACTGGCAGCCACAAGGAGCACCTCTTTGTGGCGTTTGGAAATTTAATTTCTCAGAATTAATCAGGCCTCATTATTGACGCTTTGATCTTGGAGCCAGCGGAAGTAGCCTCTGTATCTCTTTGTAGTGCTACAGTTGATGTCAGTGTGCTGGAAATGAAAGGAGGGACCACTGTCCAGGTGTCTATATAAATCAACCCTTGAAAGGTAAGGCCGTGGTATTCACAGGCTTTGAAGATGTCGGAGTTGGTTGGCCAGACAGCAGCATATTAGCTTGGCTGAGAGTGAAAACCTTGAGATGAGAGCAGAATATGGAAAACAGTGTGTTTATTGCTGGATTTATCCCAATACTGAAATGTTTACAAAAGACCACAAAGTAATCCAAACTGTCTTTTATTGGAAGTGAAAACCAAGATAGATACACATTTATGAGAACAGGTAGAGAAAAGAAGAATAGCATGAGTCAACATTACGGTCCAGAGTGAGTCTGTGTTGGCATGACAGCATTTAGGAACTGGTCTGATGTCATTTGGCTGCCATTTCCATATCATCCCCACTCTGGCATGGCTGAACTACACAACATCAGCCCTGGGTGGGACATATGAGCTGCATAATATCAAACTAAAATTTGAATTCTTGCTATTCTCTCTAAACACTGGGCCAGAAAACATAATGTGCTACTCGCTGTCCTCTCCAACCAGTCAGCTGCTGCCGTTGGCGGGGGACTGGGCAGCGCCCTGCAGGGTCCTCCGGGCCATCTCCAGGGCTCCTTCCTGGGTCTTGTTCCCGCCAATAAAGCCGCTAGCATGGACGAAGATGCAGTCCTTAATCCCACTGAGCTCTGACAGTGCTTCATCGCGTACACCGCGCCACTCTTCTGGCAGGGACAGCCTGGGATAGGAGCACAGAAGGGCAAGTTGGCTTACAGATGGACACTATGTGGTGAGCTGCTCATTTCCTGTTGACACATTGCTTTTGCAAAACACACTGTGCTGTACATGTCTGCACACGCAGGACAACAGCCCTCATAAAACCATATCTGGACACAGGAATAATGAAAAGATCTAACAATGAAAAAACATCAAAAAGGTTGAAGAATAAGTTAACTCAATGCTCAATTGTCTGGGTCTGTTTTCATGCAAAAAAAACAAACATTTGCTTAGACACACTCTTTAAATATGAACAGTTGCTTCTTTTTGTTGTCCAATGTTTCTGAACTCAATAACTTTGGATTATGCACTGGTAATTGGAGTAAACAAGAAATATGAAGTAACACCTTGGGATTCAGGAAATTGTGATTCAATATTAGCCCTATTTAATAGATTGGGGGGAGGGTGGGGGGATAACAATAATGTAAATAACTGTTTGTTCAATCATCAAGAACAAAACTTAACATAAAGACATTTTAAATGTAATGACATTTCTTCTGCTATTTCTGCATAGCTGAGCACAACATTTTTTTGGCTATTTTCTTTTTTTCCAGATTTCATTGACAGACGGACATGAGGTAAAGGTGCTGCCGTCAAAGGTAAACTGCAGCACCCTGTGCACATAGCAGCACTACAATCAGTCTGAGCAAATAGGCCCATAAAAATCAGCTTTATTCTTCTCCAGTAATGTGGAAAATCACACATCGGCACAATGGCTGAAGAGCCATTCTGTGGCAGCCGAGTCAACAGGCAATCTTACAAAGTGGGGAAAAGATTGGCTTTGCAAGGGTTTACGAGCTGACCTCGACAAAGTGTCTCTGGATGAAGCATACAGAGGATGAAAATTCATAAAAATGTAGAGCAGCTCATTTACCACCTACTGCATGTAGCATACAGGTCCGTCCACAGCCTGGCAGATCATTTAAAACACATTACCAGTGATCTTCAGTGTGTGCATGTGTGTGTCATTCTTGCTTTTAAGGGGTTATTATCTCCATTATGTTAGACCCCTGTTCTCCTCAGAGTATTGTTAAATTTAGCAATGTTTTATTCTGATTTAATACTGAGTCAGCATTTCACTGTCAACCTCTCACCCGTTCGCTGCTTCTGAAATAGACTTTAAATGCCTTTAAAACTGCTAAAATCCACGAAAAGCTACAGATTTCACTGAAAATGTCTCGCAAACCTCATCCTCCTCTTTCTCTTTGTCACATACTTGATGAATTATGGAAGCGAACAGTCGAACTTGTCAGAAATAAAGTGACGCGTTTGTCAAGCACGGTTGCGGTTTGAAGCGAATAAAGTGTTTTCTCTTGTTCTCAATTTTGAAGGGTCTATATCTCAGAGATTTTGCTTCCCCTTTGAATATTAACTGCCATTCTGTATGACATTCTTTACTGCAACATCCAGAGCGATCAGACAGCCAGTCATCTGTAATTGTGCAAAAGTAAACCATAATGTCAAATGGTTTTCATGCACATGTTCACTGAAACGTGTCATTATTCTCCCTATTATCTCAAATCTGCACAGTCCTATCGCTGTTAAGAGTGCCACAGGACAACCTGGGGAGGAAAACATGACAAACCTATAATCCCTGTTAAAGAATCAACAAATCGATAGCTGCACAGTATGGCTGGAAAACAAGCTAGGAGGAAAGGTCAACAGGGCTGGTAATGAGGGAAGGAGTAGGAGGGGGATGACTGTTGTTGTTATGACAGGCCAGGAAGCTCTCATTCTCAAGATGACCGGTCTAAAAATAAAACCACAATTAGAAGACCCTCCTCCCCCTTCAGCTTTTCTAATGCGGGAATTAGTGCCTTATTAGAAAAAAATACTTTTGAGTGGGTATTAGAGACAGGAAATCTTCAAGATGAAAAAAAAAAACCTGCATGTATTTTGTGGTATTATAAGGAGCTGGACCCTTCTGGTGAGTCTTCTACTCCAAGACAATAACAAAAGCCACTTGGATATATGCAGAGGTGTTGAATCCTCCTGCAGCTTGACAACTCACAAGTCTTGGGCACCATTTCTGAGCTACAGATTTCACACACTTCACATATTTTTTCTTTTCAACATGGGCCATGATGGTAATTTAGCAAACTGATATCACAAGAGGAAGAGAAGAGGAAAAACAAGCATCATTTTGCTGCTTTTGAAGGGAAATTACATGGAATTATTTCCATTTCATCACTTCCTCCCCACATTTTTCATTTTTTCCACTTCTTCAAGCCAGAGACACGACAGCTTTTTATCCTCCTTTAATGCATGATGTAATTTCGGCCTTAAAAGCATTAATATAACAGATTAGTCAATTGACAAGAAGAAGAAAAAAAATCAGCTACTATTTTGATAATGGACAGATAATTTTAATTATTATACAATACCTATTTGTCTACCTGCAGTGTTTTATTTGTGAAGATTTGTTGCTTTTGTTGTGATGCTACTTGTGGGCCATGTCAATCCAGTGACAGGTAATTGTGGGACACATCTGTGATTATCTTCTGGCATTTTATTTGCCAAACTATTCATCAAAATAATCAGATGGAAAGGAAAGAGGAAAAAAAGCTACTAAAAGAAGAAAATAACTATTACTTGCAGCCCTAACACAAGCTGCGACAGTGAGTCTTCCAGTGAGTCTTTCTTCAAAGAGACGTATACATTTTTGGTTCAGCTCATGCTGCTGTCAACCTACAGTATTATCCTATACAGTACATCTCTAAGGAAAGACTGTTTCCACTCCCCTCATCCTTCTCCCGGCTCACATTTCCTTAGCAATGTGATGCTGATAAAAATAGACCTTTTCCTGCCCAGGTGCAGTCGCAGGGACACAGGCGATAACAACACCCCTTTTGCAGAGTCGGCACAAGCCTACTGGGAGGAAACAGGCCACCCAGTGAAAGAGCCATCTGGAGCTATGTTTTTCTATCTATCTCACAAGCCATTGTTCCCAAGTAGCTCCACACCAAACAGCATGTTGGCATTAAATTAAATCTTTGAAGTGCTCCGCGACTATAAACAGGTGCCTGTCTTTTTAGTTGAAAGCTCTGCCGCCTGATGAGAATATGTGGCGGGGTGGAGGGGGGGGCAGAAGGTGTGAAAGGTGAGACGGCGAGATAGGGGAGAGAGGGTGGAGGAGGAAGACACAGAATTAATGGGAAGAGAGTAAGACAGATAGGAGGGAAAAAGTGATGAAATGGAAGGGGTTGATTACAGGACAGAGACAGAAATACTTAGCACAGGAGGGAGCGAAAGACAGACAGGGGGCAGAAAAAAACACTAATGGGAGAGCCAGGAGCTTATGGCATAGGGTGAAAATAGAAGGCATCTGACAGAGCACCCACTGGTCAGAACCAAGTGAATCAAAAAACTATTCCACCCTCTTCCCGTGTCTGTGGGCATGATGTGCTCAGGAGATCCCCTACTGCTCTCAAGCAACCCACAGTGTATCAATAATGAGACCTGTCAAACGCAGAATAAAAGCACAAGGGCAGGTACAGTCAATGGTAACAAGACATTTAAAGAACACGGCGGTTAGGAGCTTAGAGACCATCTGCTGTGACAGTGAGGTCTCAGTTCTAGCATAAAGGTATATCTGAGATCAATTCAAAAAAATAAACTTTCAAACATAAAAGGAAGACATCTCAAGAAAAGCAAAGGAAGGACTTGTTGTCCAGAAAAGAAAGACAAGGCAACAGATGCCACATGTACAAAGCAGACAGAAACAACATGCAGTGAACCAGAATGAACCTGTTTTTATTATGTTTTCCCTTAAACTTGTGATTATATTTATGTATGGCATTTTACTGAGCAACAATTATTCATTGCCTTCATATTACAGGTTCCCTCTTGATGTAGTTTTCATTGTCAGTTCTGGGCTCTTATGTTTGTGATTCTATTTCAAGAGCATCACAGTTTAATGCCATGTCAGAGGCATATTAAGCTGCTGCCAATGCAAAGCCAACGTTCCCAAATTCTGGGAACGATTCTTTTTAAAAAGCACTCAACATGCAAAACACAGTCTATACACACCATGCAAGACTGAGTCAAAAAACTGTGTTAAGTTATTTATCTATGTTAAGTTATTTTGCTGCATTTGTTTGTTAGCTGTGAGGCTAAAGTATTTAAAAAAATAGGCTTAATTCAATTACATTTGATTAAAAATTATACACTGCATTCATTCTTTTGCTAGGAGTGGAATTTATATAGACAGCCATAACTTCTTACAGCTGTAAACAAAATTATCCTCCCTGCCTTTGACATTTGTTAAAGGATAAATCTTTAATATAAACCATTAGATTTCCTATTTAGTTTTTTCCTTGGGATGAATTTGTATTTGACATAGATGAAAACAGCTCCTAAAAATCACGTGGATATGATGAATAATAAAATAGAAGTTGCAATAATAATTACTCTCCTACAAAAAATGTGATTGAAAGGTCAATTTTCACTTGGGGGGTTTGGGGGGGATGAAAAGAGCGAAGATGTCAGACAATAAGATTGGATTTTTTTTTGTGTGTAATGTCTAATTCATTACTTGCAACAGAACTGAGTCACCCTGAACTACTGCTGAATGTATCACATAAAAATATATTGCATTTTCTAATTTAATCATGTACACAAGTAAGTGGAGTGAGCAGAGAGACACACAGTGTGATGTGATGGAAGATGATAGCAAAATGCCATATATTTCAATGTGCTATGATTCATTCTGCGAGCACATAGACATACAAACAGAACTCAGTCTCACTCACTTCATTAGCTGATACATTCGCAAATCTCATGACTTTTTCCCTCCTCATTTCCTACAGTTATTATCTGTTTCTTTCTTACAAATCTACAAGTTGTTGCTGAATCTGCTCATTAAGCCTTAATGCTAAAACATATTTAGTGTTATTAGGTTTACCTCCAAATATTTAAAAGTAATTAAAGGCAAAAAAAACCAACAACTGAAAAATGTCTAACCCCCTTCTGCTGGCTGAGCACCACAGTTTTTAGTGGTAGCCTACTGAAGGTTCTCAACATGGACTAAAAACCTAAAAAAAATAGTAACCTTGTGGTTGTACTGTAGTGTTACAGAGTGACACATCTTTTCACTAATTAACAATCTTTGCCTGAACACAGACACCAGCTGCAGAGAGCACATTAACCAGACAATCTTTATTTTAGCTGTTACAGAATGACCGTTATTGACAAATATAATCTGCCATAGGGAAGTCTGTCATTTTAACCAGAGATGTTCAGCTTAAAATGAGAAGCCTGCTTAAAGTTCTGCATAGGTCTTTGCCTTAAAAATACAGCATTTTATCAAATGTTTGAGCTAAACAAATCTGGGTATTTAGATGTAAGAACCTGTCCCTAGAGGGATCCGTACAGCTTTCAAAAGCACCCATCATCACCATGACTCTTCCACTTCAGTCACTGAGGCTGATGTGCACATGGTGCTGCCACTTTTAAAAAGCAGAGATCAATATCAAATGGAGAAAATTTGGAACAAGAGAACCAAATCTAGTACTCGAAAAAAATAGAGAAGCAACATCAATTCTGTACGAGAAGATTTTCTGTAGCTACTCTTCTGTCCCTATCTTAGGTAAAAAAGATCAACCTTAAAATATGTTTTCTTAATTATACAGATGTTAAATATGGCATTAAGAAGCACTGGCAATACAACTAAGCAGCCACAAAGATGAGAATCTCCATAGAAGATTCAAGGGGAGCCTAGAAGATATTTTTGTTGGCCATACTTTGATAATGTTTGCTACATTCTGTGATAGTAGATAAATAACATTCCAACTCCAGCAGGTATGATAATGACATTATTAGAGCAGCATTATAGGTCGCACTGCAAGAGGTTCCCCGGGTAAACCATTTCCTTCCAAAGGTGAGGAACACTGATAATAGTCGATAATCATTTGATGCACTCACACAAAGGGTTGTTGTATTGTCGTCACCGTCATTAAGTAGGGAGTGACAAGACAAGAATGCTAACCCGGTTTAATGAGCACGGATGAGCCACCTTTCATTAAAGGGCCAGGCTCAAGGGACAAGGGTTCAAGACCTCATTATTGCTAAAAACAGAAAAGCTGCACAACAAAAGCAGCAGGAAGAAGTGAGTAAGGCAATAGAAGGTATGACACTCAGGATAAAATACATGAAAATATTATGAAATAAAGGAAGCTACCAAAAAAATCACAGTTGAGGGAAATTTTTTAAAAAGAAGTAACAGAAAACAGGTTTGTAGCAAAAACATAAAAACATTTAAGTGAAATATTAGCTGCGGCTACACTTAGTATTTTCTGTTAACACAATAAACAGAATAAGTGCAAAACATCAGCATTTTCAGCATTGTAACTGTGACCATGGTGGGCTAAATGTGTGCCCCGCCTCACAGATACTGTACACTACAAAAGGAAGGTAACTAGGAAAACTTAGTGACCGTCTTTGCACATTTGCATATTTAATGTCTTCTTTCTCCTATGCTGTTATTTACAGATGAATTGATACAGCAAATGCTCAGTGATATCGTTCAATTTTTGAGTGGCCTAAATCCATTCATATTTCGACAAACATGCGATTAAACAGTGGTGTACTATGTATATTTAATCAAAGCGACCTCACTGTTCAATAGTGCATGGATTTCGCATTCATTAATATTCATAAAAATCCTGACACATGCAAGTAAGTGGCTGTAAATAAAAACATCTCTTAAATTGTCAAACCTGCATGTAGTGTTTGTCTGTCTGCTGTATTTGAAGCACTGGGTGTAATTAACATGAGGAGCACGAAAAAGAAACACCTGAGTGAGAGAGGTGTGCATGGAAAAAAGGGCTCAGGTGGCTGTGCTGACGTGTGTTAACATCCTTTCAGCTCCTTAGAGAGCGATGTGAGAACAAAACCTCTGCCTTAGCTAAAGCATTGTCTTCATCCTACAAACAAGTATTTCTATCCTTGAAGGAATTACTCTCTCACCAGGTATCACATCAACCCTCTGTGAGTAGTTGTCGAATGGTCCAATAAGCATGAAAGCTACACCACGTTTCGTCCCCGTCACCAGAGCTCAATTTGATTCAACACGTGGAAAACTCTGGCATCGTGTCTGTCACAGTGTTTTCCACTGATGTTTAAAAGAATCCTGCCTAGGAAAATTTCTTGTGTGTGATTCAGTGTCACAACACACTTTGCAATAACTGCATGCTTGATTTCTGCCAAGGTAACTCATGCAAGGTGCTCCCTCCGCATGTACAATCGCAATCTGTACCTCACAGTGCAGAAATGGCATTTAAAAGATTTTCAACAAAATTTAACTCAAAACAGACTTTGCTAAATTCTTGTTTTTTTAAAACAAATACCTGTTCTGGAAGGTGTTGAGCCCAGCAGGGACACACTGGACCCTCCACTGTCCATTTTGGTCTGGGTAAAGGACAAACTTGATGGGCGTCTCCACCTGGAGGTCCGTCTCCAGAGCAAACAAATGCTCCTTCCAGGGACACCCACCCTGGGAGAACAACAGCACCTCCCCACTGGGATCTATCTACAGATGAGAAGAGAGCCGGGAAATTGGGCGTTGCTAATGTGTAAGATGAAGGACAGAGTGGAAACATGTAATTTGAGATTTCATGGAAAACAAGAGTGAAGAAAAAAGAACAAGCAGACAATTATGTTTTTACAGGAGCTAAAATATGGAGCCAGAACAGAGTCTTTAGTTTTTGGCATTGACAGCAGAACTTGCAACTGAAATGAAATCTCAGTGGCAACATGAACGACTGTTATTTTCCCTCCACATCAAAACAGTGAGAACAGTCAGTGAAAAAAACGACCTTTTTTAATGCCACTACAAGTTCTTCAAAAACAAAAGCAATTGTCTTTTTTTGTAATGAAAAAAAAAAAATCGCCATTCTGATTTTATGCTAAACAATTTTACCATAAACTGTATCTTCTAGTTCATCATGGGTAGGAAGCATGAGGAGCCACAGGGACCCTCTACCTCTGAAAGATGTTGGATTACTGTGTTTGGTATTTGTATTTGTTTTACTAGAACATTAATACTTTATATTTTAATACAAAAATCACACATTATTTCAACTGATACTCATAAAAGAAAAAAAAAAAACATGACAGAAATTAGTAACCTGAAAGATCAACATTAAAATATGTTTTCTTAATTATACAGATGCTAAAGATGACACTGAAAAGCACTGCCAATACAACTAAGCAGCCACAAAGATGAGAATCTTTATAGAAGATCAATGGTAAGCCTAGAAGATGTCCTAGCTCCTGATAAATTGTGCAAAAAAATAAAAATGAATACTGCACACAGTCCTGTACCTGATGTCTCTCCTTAACAGCTTCCTCCACGACCACTCGAGCCGGCAGCCAGGAGGACTTATAGAAATCCAGACGGTCGAGGAACTCCTCCCCAACAATCTTCAGAGCCTTTCTGAAACCCTCCTAGAGATGAGATGGAACGCACACAAACACGCACGTTACAGTCAAATACAGTGAAAGAAAGTGCAACTTAAACTGTATCACGCTCTGACTTTAGATGTCATAAATAAATTTTAAAAAAGAACTCGATGAACTTTACTAGCCTGCCTCGCAGTTTAAAATCCTTTTGATCACTCACATCTTTCGTCACTACTACACCATCTCTGAATTCCAATACAGTTTGATGTCAAATACTTGTGAGGCTGTGTGCCAGAAAAAATGGGGGTGAGAAAGTCTTGTCTAACCATCTCCCAACTGATCCTTATAGCCCTGCTTCATCAGTTTCCTGTCATATTGTGCACAAACCCCCAGCCTGACTTCACTCACTGACTCAAGTCTCAGGAGCAAAAACCAAAGAGAGCATGAGAATGAAATCCCAACACAGATACAGGCACAAATACGTGCACACGCAGACAAGCTCAGCATGTCATGCAGGAGTCTAATCAGTATGCATCTGATTGAAGGGGCTGCAGTGGCCCTAAGATTCAACATGGATGGTGGAGATGAAAATCCATTAGTTTTTTCAATTATCACAAACAGCCACTGTTGAGAGTTCACCAGGTTAGTGTACCATAAAGTTGTCTACCAAACATTTTTCAATTCTCACTTCCCTATCAGAGATGGCTTGCCTGCAGTGTGAGTTAGTGGGGAAATTGGAAGCAAGTGTCAGGACAAGAATTATAATCATGTGAGCTGGAATGTGAAAAAAATAAAATAAAATAGGTCAGCTAGTCCCTTGAGAGACCCCAGAGATGGGAGGAAAAATAAATAAACAAAAAACATAAAACATTGTTGGCATGGTCAACATATATGCAAAGCGAGGCTGCAGGTATCTCATGAGAGTCTGCAGAAAACAGGGGCTGTGTCCCTACAGACATTCATGTCCTGCACTAATGAGAGACAGAAAAGTCATATTAGGTCATTTTCTGTGCCTCTGTTGTTTCCACTCCAAGGACGACCTCTAAACACTGATTGCATTGCATTGCATCTGTCATGTTTACCATTACCTAACACACTTTCTACTTTTGCAACACTACAGGTTGCTCATTGTGTGTGATTGTCATTAAATTAGACAAGAGTCCCACTGTGGAGCGGCTTTCTACTAAATATCGAGACATTCAAAACGAAAGTGGCTTCAGGCAGTTCAGAAAAGAAATTGGTACAAGGTGATCGGTTACTCATTAACCAGAGAGGTTCATTAAGTCCTCAATTTGATAAATGTAATTGTTATATGGTAGCATTTTATTCAGGACGTGTAGTTTTGCATTAGTTTGTACTGATGTTTGTTGTTTATTGTGGGGCTTTTTGATATTTTGTATATGTAACAGTGCTGAAAATCAGTAGGATGAAACAATTACTGAAATAATCGGTTCAACAGCTTTTTAAAACATTTATTCATGATCAAAAAACAAACACAGTCAACTTCTTCAACGTGTACGGTTATTCTTTGTCTTGTACAACAGTAGCTTATTATCTGTGAGTTTTGGACAGCTGGCTGGACAAAATATATGTATATGGTTCAAAAGCAATTTGAAGATGTCAGAAAATTACAATGTGTATTGTTTATTTTGTTTACAGGCTCCAAACAACTGTGAGTCTCTCCAGGATAAAGTGGGTATAGATGATGGATGAATTTCATTTGACCAAAAGATTAATTAGGAAATTAATCGGTAGACTAATCACTGTTAAAAATAGTTGCTAGTTGAAGTGCTCCCACTTCAGCATGTAATGTCTTGCATTAAGTGTGTCTTAGGAATCCACAAATAAATCAGGTACAAAAATTACCCTCCTTGGATGTTAAGTGTATAATCTGTTCTGATTAGGGCACAGAGAAGAGCAGGATGTGTGGCTCGTGCTTACATTCTGGGAGTTGTTGGGTTGCCAGGAAAGAATACTGGCTTCACTGATAACTATAGAGTTGAAAGTTGCCTGCATAGCACTGTTGTGTGGTGTTTTACATGTTTATTTGAACTTAGGAGATAAGAGTATTTCATCTACAGCATCAGTGAAACTGGCCATGACTCGGGCTGCAGAAATGCAGGCAATCATAAAATACATTTTTGTCTTATTTAATAAATGCATTGTAATCATTTTAATTAATCTTCTATCACAGATACAGACCCGCACACATTAGTTGTTGTCTGTGACCTTCTGTGTGCTTTGTGTGGGTACACAGTACATTCACACTCACATGCGCTCACCTCAGTATCTTGACTCTTGCTGTTCCAACATGGATTCAGGTGCCCGACACGTGCGCTCAGCGTGGTAGAGACAGTGTAGCGGGCCTCCCCTTCACACTGTGAGATTCCATTGTCAACAGCATCCACCTCCTCCACAAAGTTCTCATACAGCTGCAAGCAATGTAAACAGACACGTCAGTACAGGTTATGAACGTGTCTTGACACAAGAATCAACTGTTTTATGTTTATACTAATATTGAACATTAAGTCAGTGTAGTAAACTTTAATCATTATTGATAAATGTACTTTGATAACAATATTATGATTACAACCCCTCTGGTCACAGTGTGTGAGCAATTACTGAAGGCTGAAGCGCTAGGTCATTAAACTAAAAGGAAACTGGAGAGATGCTATTTTACAGTTCACTCGCAAAACTCCAAAATACAAGGAGTGGAGGAGGCAAAGTAGAAGCAGAGATACAGCGCTGAAGAGTGAACTCTTCTGTACACCCAAAGGTCAATCACCAAAGAGATGACATTTTACAAGTGGCTTACAAGTGGAACTAAGCTTTGGGGCAAAAATAGAGGTTCAGTTTGTCTGAACTGGCAGAGGACAAGACACGCAACATCCTAAAATAAATAAAGCCCCAGCCATGAGTAAAAGGATTACTTTGGGGTTTTAAACAAACTGACACATCAAAAGGCAGATGATAATATGAGTTAATAGCGCTAATATTTGTGGTGACCTAAGATTTGACTGGCTTAATGTGGCCAAGGTCTCCTGTTGGCTGAGCTGTCTAACATCCACTAGATTAAACTCTGTTTAATTCTTGCAGAGGAACTTTGCCACATTCCTGTCTCACTCTGTTTATATCTAGTCACACTCTACCGCCAAGTGTGTGTTGAAGGCAAAACGCCAGAAACTAAACATTAAATACTAGACATTCTGCGTTTCCTACATATAGGAATTGCATGTTTTCTGTTTTTAAACCAACCAACATTTTCAGCAGTAACGTGGTTTTGTAGTAAACATAAAACAAGATTTTTGGCCTACATTTTTGCATATGTAGGAGATAAATGTCCTTTATCTTCTTCTGTAATTTTATTTGTGATTAACAAGCTTGCCCACTTAATAGACCTTTTTTTCTCTTCCTCTTCTGACTTCATGATAAAATGGATAGTGTTTAGGTTCAGTTCACCAGCTGAGGCAATGGTGTTTGCACAAGTGGACCAGTGGAAAACATCTGTTTCCAATGAATTGTTTGTTTGGTGAATAAAACACAATCAGCAGAAATCCACTGCCTGTTATAAACCTGCCATCTCTCTTCTCACCTTGTCATAGAGAACCTCAAGCTGCCTATCATCCTCCTTGAGTTGCGTCAGCTGGGTCAGCAGTCGACGGCCAAAGTGTAGGTAGACCAGGCCGGCAGAGCTGAGTTTGGTCACCCATGGCTTCTCTGGACACAGGCTGTGGAAAGTGTCTGCAAAAGTCCTGAACAGAAGAAAGACAAACATTTGGTTTACTGCCACAAAAACTTAACAGCCCCAAACACCATAGTCTGTACAGCAAGAGGGAAAAGAGGGTTTAAAAAAAAATTGTATTACGGTTAGGAACATATGCATTCCTGTTCATCCATGTAACTAGTTTATTTAAAGTAGAGAGGGCTGTAACTAAAATAAAACTTTAAAAAAAAAATGTTTTAATTAATATTATCAAAATAATTTTTTTTATAGTTCTTTGTTGGTTTTATTTTTATTTTTTAAGCTAAAATTGTAATAAGTCTGAAGTGGCAACTTTGAATGTCCTCTTTTGTATAATCAACCATCCAAAACCCTAATTGTTCAATCAAATTGAATTTAATTTAGAATTATTTTGGTAATGGAATCATAAATGATTTTTTAGCCATTTTTAATCAAAAATGCCAAAAATGTTCTCATTACAGTTTCAATTTTAAGGGTTTGCTGCCTTTCTCTGTTTTTATTACAGTAAAATATTATCTATGGAGTGCAGGTCAGACAGAACAAGAAATCTGAAAATTGCCAATGGAAAACAGCTTGTTTTATTGCTCAAAACTGTAAAATGCTGCAGGGTCTATAGGCTGATGATATCTAACATTCAATCTTAAAGGCAAGGCCGGCACGATTAAACATTAGTGTTCTGCCCGTAATCACATTATTCACCGTTTTTCCAATAACTGACCCCTTCAATAAAATGCTGCATCTTGCTATATGCGCCACATTACTAGCTGTGTATCGGACATCAATAATAACGCGTCCATAAATATTCTCTTGCTCCAGCATGTCTGTCAGTGTGAGCACACACAGCCACTGGAGGAGGTCTCTGCTCAGACACGTGCTGAGTTGGGTGGGCTCCAGCACCAAGCCACTGCTGGTCATTTAATTCAGGCTTAATTAGGATGCTTGGGCTGCAGCACAGCGGAAAACCTCCCGTCAAATGAATGAGTGACATGCTAGAGAAGTAGGGGGTAATCACAGCCATTAAAGGACTAATTGGCCAAGCTGTGGCATTTCTATGCTGATAATCAGGAGATGGGAGTCAATGATTGAGAGGAAAATGACAGACTAAAACTGAGAATGATTTAAAGAAAAACTCATCAAAGTCATCAAAGTGTTTGTGTGAAATCAAAGATACTGTAGTTACAGCATTCAGCCCATAGACTCAACAATACGACAGTTCAAGAAAAAGGAAATATTTAGGCATGAATTAAGTTTTGTTATAAGATAATAAACATATATTGTACTTTGAGTCCCATACTGCACCAGCTGCAGCACTTAATGTTGCTGATCACGCTACATTATTAGAGGGAGAGGGAATGGTCTTATTGAACACTATTTGCTGTGTCTGCATAATTATGTATGTATATGTATGACAAGAAACTCACTGACTCGAGAAACTCTAGCATTTTTTGAAACGAATACTACTGGCCAGTAATTTTCGATCATGCTCATCCCAGTTGTCCCCCCGAGAGATGAGCAATTAGGTTTGCAGAGAGAAAGATTCCTCAGTGGGCTTTAAAAGGCAACATTTTACAAATAGTGTGACAAAAAAAGGCCAAAGTCACTGTTGCTGTTCAAGTTTAATACAATTAATTCTTTTACAAAGACCTTATTTGGATTTATTTCATTCAGTGAGACTATTTTAGTCATTGCCAATGTGTGTCAAACAGTGATTGAATCACGAAGCAATTTGTAAAGTATCTTTTTAATGTGCCGTGGGACTCCTGAACATACAATAAGGATTTCCACAAAAGAAAAAACTGCTCAGTTTAAGTAGTTACACTCACTCTGGTTAATCATGCCCTCCTCTGACAGACAAAAATTAATTCATTTAGATACAACTGTGACCTACTATATACCTCATATACCTATTAGACCTTATTATACCTTAAAGTATTATTAAGTACTTCAGAAACTGTGTGTACTTTGGGTCATTGTTGGTTCAACACCTACCTTTACATAGACTTGATAAAAGTTTAACATTTGTGAGTGCTGCAAAATAGTGATACAAGTAAAGATTTTGTATCCTTTTCTTGAAGATTCACTTGTACATTTATTGTATATTCATGTATTATTAACATAACCAATAAATGAATATTCTTTATAAGTGATATGTAGATTATAAACTAATCATTAAAAGAAAACTTCCCAAAATCACCAATTAATTGAATGAGCTGTTGCGATATCATAATGTATTATATATTTTTAGTACTCACAGTGACATGTTGTTCCTGGCTTGCAAAACATGTAAATCCACTGTGAGCAACATATAAACTAAGTTACCATGAAAAGATTTGTAAAATGTTTTAGCTATTTAATTGCACTGGTGATGAGGGACGGCAAAATTCAGACCACATTTCTGACTGCTGAAAATATATTTACGCACTTTTATTTCTTTGCTGAGAGGGAGTAGTGAGTGCATTTTGAGTGTGAGCAACCACAGTCTTAATCCCTGCCAGATCTAATCTGGTGTGCTTTAATACCTTCAGTCAGTATTTGGAGAATGTTTCTCCTGCCTCCACTTCTTGTAATCATTTTCTTCTCTGCTTAAGAAACTTCTAAGATAAAAGTTTTCCATATCTGTAATAGTTTCTCACATTAGAATTTGTCCTTTGGAAAATCCATGAATGCTTTTTTTTCTGTCCTTATGCTTCGACTTATTGGGACAGTTATTTTTAATTATACAGTCTGTTTTCCCTATTTCAAAGCTTGCATAAAAACAAGCAAAGAGCCAGGTCAAGGACAGGTACGTTTTTGTTGATCTGTCTTTGAAAGGAACAGTTAAACGTATTTGGAAATATGCGTGTCTGCTTTCCTGCAAAGATTTAGAAGATTGTCATCACTTTCTTGTCTGTTCAAGCCTGCGGCGAGTTAGCTAAGTTTAACATAGCATTATAACTAGAAACAGGGGACACCAGCAAAGTTAGCTCCATCCATAGGAAACAAAATCTGCCAGGACCTACCAGCTCATGGAACAGACAGTCATAAGAGTGGTATCAATTTTCTCAGCTTACTTTCTACAAGAGAGGAAATAAATGATGCACTACTCCTTTAATTGTTTAATTTTATGCTCTTACTTTAGATATTAACTGTGATGCACTCATATTGCTGTCAACTTCATCTGCACACTGTCACTATTTTGAAAGAAGCGCTATTGAAATGAGAAGTCTGATTGTTGTTGCCAGCTCCTTCTCCAACTTCCTCCAGCCCACTTACATCTAGCCCTGCCATCACAACCATCTTGCCCCCATCCGCGCATGTGAGTGACAGCCACATTCTCCTGTGGCCCCTGACAGTGTCATGGCAGCCTCTGTGCCTCGTGAACCAACAGCAGGGGGGCGTTCAATTGAAGGAGCACTAATTATCACTAACCGCCTGCCAGGAAGAGAGCCCTGGCATATCTTTATCACCGTGGTCATAAAAGCTATCTCTGATTATCATCAGGACATTAAGCTGTCAAGACACCTGGAATGGGCTGATTACTCAACGTGATGAAACATTGAGCGAACGCAATCATTCGAAAGAAACTTTGCCAGGAAATTGAACACAAAACATGGAGCCCTGTTCCTTCATGATTCATGCAATCAGGGGGGCTTCAAGGATGTGAGAACAGACGCCACAGGGGAAATTTACTTTGTCATCCTTGGACCTGGGGTAATGAAAATATCGATAATGATAATCTCTCAAGATGAAAAAAAATAAGACACTGCCCTTTTTCAAAGTACATTATGATTATGTTAAAGCAAGAAAACCCCAGGTGTAATACATAAAATTACCTATGGTGATTGGCTCAAAGACATGGCATACTGTCAGATCTAAATAGAGTGAATAATATTCAGAATATTAGCTATGCTTGTGCCCTTGAGCTATGACACATTAAGATGTGGCATATTTACAATGTTTGGTTTGTTTTTCCATCCCCTAAATACATACTTGGACATAAATGTTGGGTGATTGAGAAAAAAGATATGATTATAAGTGAACCTTACTTCAATATCCATTCATCCACTATTTATACATCGCTTAATCCTCACTAGGGTCACGGGGGGGCTGGAGTCTATCCCAGCTGATTTAGGGCGAAGGCAGGGGACACCCTGGACAGGTCGCCAGTCTATCACAGGGCCTTACTTCAACATACTGTACGCATATTACAATATCTGTTTATGTAAAAAAACAAAAATCAAGTTCTTCCATCACACTGCATTTGTTGATAATTTAAAAATTAATTTGGACTATCACTTTTAGCAGACACTCTCAAACGTTTCACAAAATGACTCGGTGATTAATTCAACTTAGCAGCTGCACTGCAGTAATAATTTAATCTTGATTTTTAAAACAACGCTGCAATATGATTCACCATTTTAAAATGAACCCACAATATGATTACCATGACAGCTGATGAACAACAAAGACTCTCATATTCCCCAGCCTTAGTTCACATAATTCTAGACATCTGTTGGGATCAAAAATGTAATTAACACATTCTCTTTGCAGCAGTTATCTGCCAGAGTTGCACCTCTGATGATGGTCATAGCGGTGCTTCTTTGGGTCGAACTCTCCTCCCACGTCGACAACAATGTCACATTCTGCCAGCTGTGCCGGGTCCCTGGTCCGGATGATCTCAGCATCCTGGGCAATGATCACAAAGAATTGTAGGTAACATATCAGGGAAAAAATTAACAAATTATCATATATACTAATGATCCAAATGTATCATGTGCCATCATATCTGTATTCTAAGACCATTAATTGTAACAAGAGTGTGGCCCTAATTAGGACGTGCAGGGTGTTTTGGGCTGTAACCTTTAATCAATGGGCTATTCTGTAATTTCCAACCAGAAAAATACACATAAATGTACATATGTAATTAAATCAGTTTTCTTAGGTTACAACACGCTTTTTGTCAGCTTCTCAACTCATCATAAATAACACGTGGACCTATCTGAAGACAATTTCTAAACCGATTATGCAGAAAATGTACAATATCAAGACATATATCAATATCACAAAAAGTTATTATATGACATCTTTTGGTGGTGTCTACTGTTTTGGTAGTAGAGTAACATGCGTTAATATGCTGCAATTACCATGCTTCATCTCTTTGGGAGACCAATCTATTTATACAGCAGCTCCCCCAGTTGGTGTGTTACAGCATGACACTGAACCCATGACAAAGAATGAAGTGAAATATGGTTTCCCCAGAATTAGCGAATGCAAAGTGAAGATGTAACAACACATTGACTGTTAGGTTTATGTACCGTTTAGTGTGAAGGGAACAAACTAAATTAAATTAAACAGCAGCATGCGAGGTGACAAAAACACTCAGCACGTCTCCTTCAGCCTCGTCCAGCGGCATGTTGTACCTACCGTGTACTCCGGTAACTGGCGGAGGAAGAAACAGGCCAGAACCTCGTCGCAGTGGAAGGTACCGTTGTGAGTCCCGATCTTTTTACCGGTCATGTTGTCGGTGCGGATCCTCTTGGGCTCGGTTGACATGTATCTCGATCCTGTGCGAGTCACGTCCACAGACAGTAAACGGCAGCAGTTTAACCGTCGTAAAATACTTTCAGGTTTGATTGTGGCTACTGAAGAGGTGCTTTTTGTTAATTTTAATCCAGTTACACACGCACGTAAACACCACATTCAAACCCACACGAGACGCGCCAGTGGCGGACAGATTTGGCAGCCGGACCGGATGTGCTGCGCCTGTTTTGTAAAATTTCATTTTGTTTTTCTTTCCTTCTTCTTTTTAAAATCTTCCGTTAATTTCTCTTTTAAGCAGTTTTGAATAATTCACAGTGCTCGTGATGACGATACTGATATAGCTAACTGGTGTAACCTCCAGTGAAATAATTGTACAACCTTTTATGTGTAGTGTAATTCTTTGGCAGCAGAGGGCGCTGCAGACAGTGAAACAAACAGCTGATACCATTTCTACAGTACCGTATAGTATAAGCATCTTTCTACAGTACCAAACGGCAGTACATTAGAAATGAATGAATAGCCTGTATGCATGAGGCTGGTGTGCAATCTTCTCTGTTAGTGATGTGTCATGCACAAAAGTGAATCAGAAGAGCCAACTCCCATCAAGTGAGAGTCGGCTACCGACTTTTTTTTCCCCGCTGCTCAGTGGCTCAGCTCACCTCACGGCAGAACTTTGTTTTGAATGGCAGCATGGCGGCCTTGTGGCCAATCACATGTAGGATTTAGTGCCACAGCTGATGTTATAATGAAGATGCGATGCTATCTTGAGAAGCCCCTGGAACAATGAGCAGAAGACCCACTGAGCTGGTGGCAGGCCAAGGCATCAGTGTTCCCCCACCTGGTGAAGGTCATGGAGGGGAGACTGTGTGTTGTGGCAGCATCTGTTCCCTCTGAGAGAGTCTTTACAGAAACAGGGCAGATAATATCCAAGAGGAAACACTGCATCAGCCCAGCCAAGTTGAGACATTTAATTTTTTTGAATGCAAACCTGCACTAAAGACATACTGTGTGGTGTTTGAACTGAGTTTTGTTCTGTTTCTGTTCTGATTCTGTTCTGTGGGTTTGTTTGCAGTGTTTTGTTCATTAGTTTTCATGTTAAATTAAGATTAAAAACACACAAAATTAAGCCATTATAAGGCTTCTCCTAAAAACACTAAATTCAAAGGGGTTTGTCAACACACAAAGCATTCATATTTGCCAAGTTAGTATACATATATATAATCTGTGTGTAATAGGATACGTGTGTGCTGATGTACGTAACGCTGCTAACGGACTGTTTCCTTTCAGGAGGGTGTGCAGCATCACATTCAGAACCAGAAGCTCTGAAGTTGTTCTGCATCTCACTGAACAACAGCTTCTTCTAACTATTATTCTATTATTATTATTATTAGTAGTAGTAGTAATAGTAGTAGTAGTAGTAGTAGTAGTAGTAGTATTCTGTGTCAGGAATTAAACATGGACATTTTGTTTTATACTTCATATTTGTAATTCATTATTAAATAGATGAATTCATGTGTAATATTGTTTTATTTTGTGCTCTGTTCTTGATTTATTACTGCCGTAACCTGAACAAGAACCTGAGAACCTGGTTTTCTTGTCAGTCCTGTAGAACATGTGATGATTCTGTGCTTCAGCTGATGGATCTGATGATCTTCATGTTATGTTGTTTTTTTCCTGAGATGCACTCACATGTGGAGTTCAGATGTCATCAAATAAACCAACAGAAACATTAAATCTGCAAATAAAGTTTCTTATTTATTAATATATATAAAAAAGGTCAAATGCAACATTACAAAATAAACGATTTCATGTATAAAATAAATAAAAAGCCTCTTCTTTCAGTCCCCCTTGTCCTGATCTTGTGTCCTACTCATGTTGTCTCTCCACTCCTCCACAGTTGGTCAGATCAGCCTCGGGCTCCCCAGCACTGTTTGATGAGTCTGTCCACCCTGCCTTCAGGGGCTCCCTGAAGGCTCCATGCCTCCACCAGGACCTGGGCCAGCTTCAGGACCTGATGGTATCCTGGCTGACCATCAGGACCCTGAATTTCCTGCTGAAGAACCACAGAAGAAGAAAGGAGGAGCGGATGGAGAAATTGAGCCGACTGAAACAGAAAGTGTAAAGTGCTATAAATGGTTGTGTGTGTTTGTCTGTGGTGCCGTGTCTTCTGACAAATGAAGAATTGTGATTTCTCTGCTGTGACATTATTAGTCGAGTAGTAGTGGTTTGTAGTTGCTGAAGTTATCTCAGAATCAGAGGAAATCTGGGCAGCTGGAGTCAGTTCTTCAGGGGCCTCAGGAGGGACATGCTGGTCAGGGTCGGCCGGACTGCATGGCTCAGACCTGGGTGTCAGGTGGATCATCTGACCGGCCTGCTGCTGCTGTGCTGCCGGAGGAGGTTCTGGGTCAAAGACTGTGGGGTCCCCGGCATCATCCACGAACGCCTCCTCACTATAAAGAACAAAACAGTCAAACTCTTTTTTTAAATCACAAATTTCATCAAATTATCACAGATACACCGACACCTTTATATAGCTCAACTCAAATATGCCTATATATATATATATTATTGTAAGATAACTAACTGTAGGAGACGTGAAATTTGATACTTTTTGGTTTTTCTATTTCAATTTTTATATTGATGAGAAAAAGGTGAGTGCTGTTATTTTCAGTCTTTTCTGGGGGTACCATGATTTTTGTCCAGGCCTGTTTCATGAGTTTATTTTTTTAAATAATTCTGTTAAATCACGGTTCAAAGGAAATGTCTGATTTTCATTGGTTCATTTTCGTAGAATTTTTATTTATTATTACTTTTGTCAGATTCAAGTTGTTTCTGTGACCATTGTGGGTTTTTCTTTCATTTACTGAGGGGTACCAACAATTTTGTCCACGTGTGTATGAATTTGTTTAGGTAGTTATAGTATTTTATTACGATGGGTGGTATGGTGGGGTAGTGGTTGGCAGTTACAGTTGAAACCAGAAGTTTACACACGTTCTATAAAAAGACACATAACCTTTTTATCCTCACTGTCTGACATAAAATCAGACTAAACTTTTGGTTTTTCGTACAGTTAGGATTACCAAAGTTATTTCTATTTGCTAAATGCCAGAATAATGAGAGAGAAATTTTTTTTTTTTCAGAGAATTTTTTATTACTTTCTTCAAAGTCACAAGTTTACATACACTAACATTACTATGCCTTCAAACTATTTGGGAAAGCCCAGATGATGATGTCATGGCTTTGGAAGCTTTTGATAGGTTAATTGACAACATTTGAGTTAATTGGAGGAACACCTGTGGATGTATTTTAAGGCACAACTCAAACACTCTGCTTCCTTTTATGACAACATGGGAAAGATATCAGGAAGAGAATTGTGGCCCTCCACAAGTCTGGTTCATCCATGGGTACAATGTCCAGATGCCTGAAGGTTCCACATTAATCTATACAAACAATTATACGCAAGAATAAACACCATGGAAATGTCCAGCCATCATACAGCTCAGGAAAGAGACGGATTCTGTGTCCCAGAGATAAAGCGTTTTGGTGCGACCCCAGAACAAAAGTAAAAGACCTTGTGAAGATGCTGCTGAGGCTGGTATAAGAGTGTCATTATCCACAGTAAAAAGAGTCCTGTACTGACATGGGCTGAAAGGCTACTCAGCGTGGAAGAAGACATTACTCTAAAAGCATCACATAAAAAAAGCCAGATTACAGTTTGCAAATGCACACAGGGACAAAGACCTTAATTTTTGGAGACATGTCCTGTGGTCTGATGAAACTAAAACTGAACTGTTTGGCCATAATGACCATTGTTACATTTGGAGGAAAAGGGGGGAAACTTGCAAGCCTGAGAACACCCTCCGAAATGTGAAGCATGGGGGTGGCAGCATCATGTTGTGGGGGTGTTTTGCTGCAGGAAGGACTGACGCACTTCACAAAATAGGTGGCATCACGAGGAAAGAACATTATGTGGAAATATTGAAGCAACATCTCAAGACATCAGCCAGGAAGGTAAAGTTTGTGTGCAAATGGGTCTTCCAAATGAACAGTGACCCTAGGCATGGTGCCAAATTAGTTACAAAGTGTCTCAAGGACAACATAGTCAATGTTTTGGTGTGGCCATCCCAAAGCCCTGATCTCAATCCCATAGAAAATTTGTGGGCAAAGCTGAAAAGGCGTGTAGAGCAAGACAATTTACAAACTTTACTCCATTACACCAGTTTTGTCAGGAGGAATGGGCCAGAATCCCAGCAAACTATCGTGAGAAGCTTGTGGAAGGATACCAAAAATGTTTGACCCAAGTCAGTTTAAAGGCAATGCTCCCAAATACTAGGGAAATGTATGTAAACTTCTGACTTTGAAGAAAGTAATAAAAAAAAACCTTGAAAGAATTCTCTCTGTCATTCTTCTGGTGTTTTATATATCATTTTGGGAATCCTAACTTACCTAAAGCAGGAAACATTTTGTCACATTTAATGTTAAATAGTGGGAAAAAAAAAGGTTATGTGTCTTGTTATACAGGGAATGTGAACTCCTAGTTTTAACTGTGTGTATAATATTATTATGTGCTCTATCAGTAGGACATATCTAACAGTAGCTCTAAGGCAAATTACCATAACTGTTACTAAAGACATTAACAAAGCCTTGATAGATGTTCTTGCATGTCCCAGACCAATATCTATAAGCCATGGAGTGTTTTGTGGCTCCATATCTGTTGGGTTAAACTTAAAAAAAAAAAAAAAGACTCTCTCCCAGGTAACAGTGTTCTTCAGAAATTCTGTAGTAAAGTGTGCCAATGCACAAGTACAGAAGTGCTGAAGCACACTTGTTACTTTTCCTCTGGCTAAATATAGTAGGACATATCAAACGGTAAAAGCTGTATTGACACACTTAAAATGTCCTCTGAAATGTTCCTAGATTTAGTATTTGGTATTGCCTGATACTCATTTGTTTTTGTCCTAATAAAAATAAACACACACAATTAATATACAAATTATAGACGAGGCTTTACTTACTGCTCTGGAGTGATTTAGTTCAGCATATGTTTGGATTTATGTGTTTAACTACTGTTCGGTTTTTACTTATTGTAAATTAACGCAATTTTAGAGGCAGACGTGAACTGCACTGGAATAGAAGTGGGATCATTAAGGAAGACCAGCTCCCACTCCCAAATCTCGTTCTCGCG